TGTTAAATTTTAGTATTCAAAAATTTTTATATAATTAAAATATTTATGAATTTACATTTACATACATATCTCAGCTTTCACCGATTCAAATTAAATGAAAATTTAATATATTATAGATTGAGATTGTATTAAATATATATAAATTTTGAACTAATTCTGATCAGTGCATCTTGAGATATACAATGTTAAACTTAGTGTTCAGAGGCTTTTGGCTACCCTCTGTACTTACTACGATAATTCATCATTTGAATTAGATGAAGATCCTGATACTTCAATGAATGAACTCATCGATGTAATTGAAGATTTAATAAATAATGACCAATATGAAGATGAATACCTTGATGAAAGAGATATTTTCTTTTTTCATAGTGAAGAAGACACTTCTAATGAAAATGAAGAGACTTTTGATTTCAATGAAACGGAATTATTTGCTAATCCCTGGAAAAATAATCTGGCTGTCTTTTTAGCTTAAACTGAAAAGGAAAACATTGAAAATAATGAATAGAACATTAAAGAAGATATACATGTTGGACCCTTAGAAATATCTCAACAAGAAATCTTTGATCAATTTATTGAAGATAATAAGAATATTTGTGCACTTAGTCAAACAAAAATTGGTCATACCACTCTTTTTCAACATCAAATACCAACTGGAGATCATGAACCAATTACAAGTCCTGCATATCGTTTAAAAGGTCCTGCTAAATTAAATTTCTTCAATCTGAAATAAAAAGAATGGAAGAGAATGATATTATTCAAAGATCTAAAAGTCCTTGGACTTCCTCTGTAGTTATCGTATCAAAGAACACTGGAGATTCTAGAATCTATATTGATTATAGAAAACTTAATACTATTACTAAAGGAGATGCTTACTCTTTACTATTAATAGATGACTTGTTAGAAAATTTAGAAATGCAAGTTGGTTCTCTACATTAGATCTTGCTAGTGGATATTGGCAAGTGGAAATGGAAGAAGCTGATAGAGAAAAGATTGCCTTTATTTGTCAATATAGCTTATATAAATTTAAAAGGATGCCTTTTGGATTGAAAAATGCTCCTGGAACTTTTCAATGACTCATGAATTATGTCCTGCAAGATTATTTATATAAATTCATAGCTGTATACTTGGATGACATTATAATCTACTCATCCTCTTATGAAGAACATGTTAAACATTTACAGCTTGTATTCAAAGCGATCAGAGAAGCAAAGTTAATGATCAAACTTAAAAAGTATCAATTCTGTCTACCAAATATTCCATTTCTTGAACATATCGTAGGAAGGAATGGTCTATAACCTGATCCTGAAAAAATTAGAAAAATCAAAGAATTACCTGCTCTACGAGGATTAACTGAATTAAAAGTAGCATTAGGATTATTTTCTTACTACAGAAAATTTATTAAGGGGTTCTCTCAAATAGCTAAACCTTTAACTATTTTATTAAAGAAAGATACATCATATAATTGGACAGAAATTCAACAGAAATCTTTTGATATACTGAAAAATAAGTTGATTACATCACCTATTCTTCAATATCCTAATTTCTCTAAACCTTTTATTCTATATACTGATGCTTCAGGAGTAGGATTGGGTGCTGTATTATCTATAATGGATGGAAATAATAATGAACATGTAATTGCTTACGCTAGTAAAAGTATGAATAAAGTGGAACAAAATTATCCTATTACTGATCAGGAATGTCTCGCAGTAGTATGGGCTATTAACAATTTTCATTATTACCTTAGTTTCAAACCATTTACAGTTGTGACTAATCATTCTGCTCTTAAATGGTTAAGAACTTCAAAAATTCCTAAAGGACGACATGCTAAATAAATCATGGAGTTACAACAATATGATTTTAACATTCAACATCATCCTGGTAAAAATAATGCCAATGCTGATACTTTATTTAGATTAATCCCTGAACAAGAAAACGATGAATCTTATAGAGAAGCATTTATAGCTACAATTAATGGAGTATCAAGTTTTTCAAAATATTCCAAAGATAGTATTGATGAAGAAATCGAATGGTACTCATCAAGTAACAATTCTTCAACTAACAATGATAATATTTTAAGTGATGAGGAATGGTTTGAACTAAGGATGGGTCCGCAAATAGGCAATTGCGGAATAATTGTGATTTACGATATTGCGGACAATTGCGGAAATTAAGGT